TGTTCTAGAATGTTCTGGATCTTTCTGGAATTTTCTAGAAAGTTCTGGAATTTTCTGGAATTTTCTGGAATTTTCTAGAAAGTCCTGGATCTTTCTGGAATTTACTGGAATTTTCTAGAATGTTCTGGATCTTTCTGGAATTTTCTAGAATGTTCTAGAATGTTCTGGATCTTTCTGGAATTTACTGGAATTTTCTAGACAGTTCTGGAATTTTCTGGAATTTTCTGGAATTTTCTAGAAAGTTCTGGATCTTTCTGGAATTTACTGGAATTTTCTATAATGTTCTGGATCTTTCTGGAATTTCTCTAGAATGTTCTAGAATGTTCTGGATCTTTCTGGAATTTTCTGGAATTTTCTAGAATGCTCTGGAATTCTCTGGAATTTTCTGGAATTCTCTAGAAAGTTCTGGATCTTTCTGGAATTTACTGGAATTTTCTAGAATGTTCTGGATCTTTCTGGAATTTACTGGAATTTTCTAGAATGTTCTGGATCTTTCTAGAATTTACTGGAATTTTCTAGAATGTTCTGGATCTTTCTGGAATTTTCTAGAATGTTCTGGAACTTTCTGGAATTTACTGGAATTTTCTAGAATGTTCTGGATCTTTCTGGAGTTTACTGGAATTTTCTAGAATGTTCTGGATCTTTCTGGAATTTTCTAGAATTTTCTAAAATGTTCTGAATCTTTCTGGAACTTTCTAGAATGATCTGGAACTTACTGGAATTTTCTGGAATTTTCTGAAATTTACTGGAATTTTCTAGAATGTTCTGAATTTTTCTGGAATTTACTGGAATTTTATAGAATGTTCTAGAATTTTCTGGAATTTTCTAGAATTTTCTGGATCTTTCTTTAATTTACTGGAATTTTCTGGAATGTTCTAGAATTTTCCGCATAACTTAAGAACCTTGTATTCAAAAGGAAACTACTATGACCCATTTCCAGTAGTCCACAGGATCGAAATTCAAGTGATACACAAAAGAAACGAAATTTTCGAAATTTTTCAGTTCTGAAGATTTGTGATCAATTTTATGCAGGCAACACCTAGATAGGCCAAAAAACCGTTTTGCATAATTTCGTGAAGTTTTATTGAGTTTGAGCATAATTTTGAAATTTTCGATACTCAACACTGTAGCTTCCCTGTTAGCTAGAAGGCCCAGGACACCATAGACATGAAGCGCTCGGCAGTCCATGACTACATACCACACACCACTATAGGAGTCCCACGCGCCTTTGAGTTATTCAAGTTAATGTCCGAGACGGACACACACACAGACACACAGAAAAGTTTCCTTAGTAAGAAGTAGATTTCGCTGAAACCTGCTGTAAACTGTACGGATTTGAAAATCCGTTTAGCTCTTCAACAAAAACTTTGTCGTACTCTTTAAGAAAATTCTTAAAACATTATCTTCTATCCTGAAAATTCCAATTCTATTTGGAAAACTATCAGATCAAAAACAGTATTTGTAGACAGAAAGCAACCAAATACTCTTGCCGATATCATTCTAGGACTGCACGATAACTGGAAAGATGATTCATGTATGGTCACTTCTGTCTTGGATTCCTTAAAAATCTATAAACCGTTTCAATGCCAACTTCCCATTCTCTGTTTTTCGATACATTAAATTTGAACTCCATAAATCGCAGTGACCCAGAACTGGTTTATGACCTATAAAACAAGATGACGTACACACATATAAGTTGTGCGCTAACATTAAGCAAAATAACCTAAAAACACAGAAACTACAATGACCATACAGTTTTGTCTTTGAGTTATTTTAGTGTTTAATTCAAAAACTTGTTCCTCGAACGATAGTTGAGAACTCTGCCTTGAGAACTGACATCAAATCAAAAGCTACAATAGGTTGATTCATTGGAATTTCATGGATATACTCGAAAATCAATGAACGCGTTCAGATCGTTCTATTCTTCCGGGAAAGCATGTATCCGAAAATTCTTTTTTTTTGCAAATTCTCCATTGAACATTCCCATTTTGAATGAGCGATGTAACAATTCTCCTCTTTCCAATAGATTGATAAACTTCGATTTCTTTGCTATGTAAAATTTCTGTTATCGGTCCCATTCCTAGAATCTTGTCCTTTTCCAGACTTGTATTCTTGAACATCCGTGGGACTTCCATATGAGAAAGTTGAGATGAAATCTAAACAATGATCAAGCTATTTTAGTCAGTCATGCATTCCCATGAACAGGTGATTTTTCTTGTTTTTCTGAGCCACACACACACTTCTTGACCACAAACTTATGTGGCAGAAGCTTTGTAAAATGGATGTTTGAGCTCACTCAATCAGGGCAATAAAAAAAAGAAGCCCTAGAAAAGGACTAAAAACACTTATCGGGAAAAATACATATCTACTTCATCTCGCCACTTTTTTATTAGTACCAAAATATGCTTTAGTATTAAATGCTTTATTTATAGAATTTTCAATATAATTAAAGGTTACATAACTACCAAGGAAACAGGAGTTTGTCGGTTCAAAACGGGACACATTTAAGGGGAATGGGAGAAAATTGAGTCAAATCAATCCAACAAAACTTAACAAATTGGTTTCCATTGAAAACAAATAATCATCTTTCTTTTTCCTTTCAGAACTTGTCTTGCAGAATACGAACATTTCTATTCATACACTATACATTTTCAGAATTTAATATTTGATGAAAAGGAAATCATTTCAATAAACATCTCATTCAACCCATAGCTACTGTAAACAAACATAAAATGATATAAAAGTGCATAGACCGATGGATTATTCAGAATCATCATGACTATTCCCTTCTATATTGTGTTCTCAGCGTTGGTTTTTGTGGTCAGTTCTGCGAATCAGACAGCCGTCCTTCCGTTTTCAAAACAAGTTTTCAGATCGGTTGTACCTCTGAAGATCAACTGCTCACTGAAGAAGGAAGTGGATTCGAGCCACCAAAGTTTGTCAACATCAGTGTGGAATTGGTTTCCAATCGATCTTTCGATCCAGAGAAGAATGCATCCAACTTGAAGATTGTCAAAGATACTGTAAGGAGTTGTTTTGTTTTGCAAATACTTTCTGAATTGAACTTTCTGAGCTTTCAATAACAAAACTTTTATCTATTTCACATGAGGTCGCAGCTGATCTTTTATTATTTTGATTTTCTGAAATAAAAGAATCACTGGTTTCCAGGTAGACGACTATTCTCGAACCGAAGGAATCAAGTATCCATCTGACAACATCAAACAATCTATCGTAGATCACGGAGGGAAGTTTGCAGTTATGTTCAAAATCCAAGACGATGCTCGATGTGATGAAGTTCGTCGATTCATCAAAGGAGCTAAGAAACACTCGAAAGAAGTTTCCTATGCAGTTCTTAAGTGCGATGGCGAGAAGACCCAAGTACTTTGACTTGTTTTTCTTTTCGGTGTTTTATTTGGGTTTAAATTGTTAAGCACTGAATAATTGAATGAATAAATATAAGTTTTGGGGGTATAGAGACACACAACAAAAATATATATCACACAGATTTTTGGGGGCGAAAAAAGGAGGGGTCACAGGAGGAGATAGGATTAAAAAATGAACCGAAAAGAATTACTAAGAGAAAGTTAACATGTTCCCTAAATTAGCACATTTATGCCATGAACTTGACGAGGGAAACGAGGGCGGTAGTGATTCCGAAGGCGGTGATGAGTCCAGTCTGTGGGGCGGAGTTGCATCTGAAAGGCATTTTTATCATCTGCAAACTTCCAGTTTTCTATCACATACCCATCTCCGTAGCAGCAGCAAGTAGCTCCGTTGGCTGCGAAAGCAGAGGTGTTTGTGCAGCCAGCAGCGCTGTTCTGGACTCCGCCTTGCTAGAAAATATAAGAATTTCCATCTCGGTTTACAAGACGCTTGTTCGGATTCCCACGTATCAACTAATGCTTCTAGAATTCGCTAATGAGAAGCTCGCGCGCGAGCGTGTGAGTGTGCACGAATTCAGAAAAAGCTGATCATGTGATATTTGTTGTTAGGGAAAGGCAGTGACAGGTGAGAAACTAGAATTTCGAGGCTCGTATTGCTATGGGAATCTTACGAAATCGATTGAGCATGACTAACCGTGCAATTCATGGCTTGACATTGCTTGGTGTAGGTTCCACGGGAGTAGTCGACGACTTTGAGGCAGGTGAGAGCTCCAACCATACATTCCTGAAAAGCAATGATGAGTTGAAGAAATTGAAAGTTCCTGGGTTACCTGGCGTTGGGATGTGTCTGGAATCGACAGGTTTCCAGCAGTGACTTGGTGACACTGGAGAGCATAAGCGCTGTAGGCGGCAAAGGCCAGAACGAAGAAGATTGGACGGATCATTCTGAAAATTCTAGGATTGCGTTTATGGAAGAAATGAAGTCTAGAGGAATCCTTTCAATCGAGAGAAAAAAGGGAAATGGATATGGCAGTGAGCTAGCTCGAGGGAAGAGCGGAGATAGGATATGGAAGGGGCGGACACTTTGTTTCCAATTTGCCCGTGTGACACCGAAATTTCCGGTGGTGCGCGCGCAAAAGCATATTGAAAGTGTGAGTCCTTCACGAAGCCTCCTCACAATTATATGATTAAGATCGGAGAGTGAGAGGGGCTAGCGGGGAGAAGCACGCGACTTTTGGTAACAATGGCAACCGATGTGAAGCAACAGAGAGAAGAGGCGGGAGGAAATGGAAAAAAAGTTAGGAAGAGAAATGAAATGAGAGAGAAGGCTTCTGATGGAAAGGCTCGAGGCTCGGGTTGTACTTCTTCTCACCACCGTATACTCCGTCTCTCGTTTTTTATCCACTCTCACTTCGAGACGAAAAATGGGCGGAGTCAGAATTAGAAAAATGAGCAAGGGGGTGGGGCGAAGCTCAACTTTTGAGTTTCTCGTGACTTGTTATCACATGGTTCACAAAATTCATAATGTTTCGAGAAGGCGAAACACAAAATTATTACTATGATTATATATTAGAATTAATTAGAGCTTCTAAAAAACTTTAAAAAAAAAGGAAATAGTGGAAAGAAGGAATTGTGTTGATTGGATTCTTAGTGGAGGTCTGGTCAGCTGACAATCTGGATAAGCTCTGAATTGTTTTCTTGAAAGTCGAAGAAAAAATGGATGTTAAGTGGCCAGAAGAAGAAGAAGCCATTGAGTTGTCTGTTATCTAATGACCAAAAGAGGAGATGCTTGGAAAGGTGTAGCTTAACAGCAAGGTTTCGGAAAGTATCAGATTGGGCTGATATCAGGAACTGATGTAGAGGGTTCATAAGATATTTCTGACGTTTTCTTAGTTTTTTTCTTAACGGGATATGTTGATAAGGAAACGTAACTGAATTAGGTTCTCAGTTAACAACGAGACATACATTTTCAGGGAGTTATTATACTAAATTAGGTTGGGGTGGAAAGAAAAAAAATATTCTCATAGTCTAGACAAACCAAGTTTTTTGACGATCCCAAGTGGACACAAAATCACTCTGGTTAAGGTATTCATGATCAAAGCTCTTCAAAATATTCATCATTTCAAAACAGTAACCAGAAATTGGAAATCTGAGAAATGTAAATGAAAAATGTAATTTTATGGTAACACAAAAGTTTGTTTTACCTTGCTCTATAGAATCCCTTTCTCAGGTTTATTAGATAATGTACTGTATTTTTGGCCCCATCATCCCTCATGTCGACTATATTTTTTAGTACTCGTGTTTTTTTTAGATTTTCAGAGCCCTATACTCAACAATATTATAGTTTGACAAAAAACAAAAACAAACATTTATCAAAAGATCACTAAAACTAAGCTCCTTAAACAACCGAAAAAGGGTTGAGAGGCAAAAACAAGTCAGAGTTTTGTGGTTACTTTTGACGACGTACTCTAAACAAAATTCGAAAAATGTTTTGTGAGGTGGAAGTCAGAAATTTTTATGGTCCAGTAATGGAACATTTTCAAACAAAAAGATATTAAACAAGATGTTCAGAAAATCGAAGACAAGGGAAAACATATTGAACTTCAAGAACTGAATTGCTGATGCTATGCTTTTCAACGGGCCGATTGTGGACCGGCACCGGCCGACTGATAACTTGCTTTAAAATTGAAATTGTGGGCAAAACAACACACCATGCCAGTAATAGAGCTCGGCGAGCATTATAACCGCTTATAAAAACAATTTAATAGCCGGACCGGGTAAAAATTGTCTGCCAGGCAAAAATTCCGACCTATAATAGGCCAAAATAACCATAATAAGCTATAATAAGACTATAATGAGCCGGCCGATTCTCATTGGATGTTGTAGAACTCGACCGAGCTCTAACATCTGGTACGCTGTTTATCCCACAATTTCAAAGTGATCGGCCGGCCTAAAAATTAAAACCAAAAACGTCTACTTTTAGTGAATCGGGGGGGGGGTGACCTACTTTTTATTGGGACGGCATCTAGGACTACAGGAGATGTTACAGCGAGTGAAAGTTGAGACTCCTTTGTTTCAATGATTCAAGGAAAATTCAGACGACGCTGGTCATTTTTCATGTGGTTTGTTTCGCTAGTTAACACTGATCAACATCAAAAATGAAGGAGGAGAATGCTCAATGTGTGTCGAAAAGTAATTCCCAATCTACTCCGCCCAAAATGCTCCAGATATTTTCATATTGATCTTTTCATGACTCTCTAATTCCTCTAGCATTTCCTTCCTTCGTATGTCAGGTCAGTTCATTTTCAAAGGTTTCAATTGCTAAGCACGTCCAGAAGAAAACTAGCAATCACTGAAAAATGTAGATTTATTGAAAATATATTGAAAGATGAAATTACATGGAGAGTTTGAGAGTTGTGGGGAAAAAAATAAGTTGGCTCAGAGATCGGAAAATTTAGAAAAGTCATGGGGGAAAATGAGATGAGTCAGATATCACAGGTTAGTGGGGTAGAAAAATTCAAAAACAAGAAATTCAAAAGTTGAGTCAGATAGGTGATTACTCATTTGAAGTAATTATGAGAATTCTTGAATTCAGACTTTCGACCGATTTTTGATATTATATGTATTTACATTCTGAGAATTCTAAGAAAAAGGAAAAGAACTGTGCCATAAGTAGGCGAAGTAATGGTTAGGAGAGAAGGAAGGCTGGAATTAGGACGGCGAACAGAGACGTGGCGAGTGGGAGCATTGATGGGCTGGCGTTGCATCTGAAAAAAGATTTATGGTTTGGAACTTTATTATTGGGGTCGCTGGATCGCGTCAGAGAATAACACTGTTTGTTTTCGAGACAGGTTTCCTGACTGGGAAGATCGGAAATCACGTCATGTGTGGGAATACTGGCGGGACATTGAATCACTTCCCCCGGTAGTTCGTAATAATATTACGAGTCTTTCTGAGAAACCCGACCCAATCTTGTCACCTCCCGTTCTATCAGACTACAGAATTCACTACAGCACTACACCATAATTCAGAAAAAGAAATTGACAGTTCTCAAAAATCAAAAATCCAAAATAGATAATATGAGACCGGATTGACTCTCCCACGGCATTGCGGTTGGGAGCCTGGGAAAAGTGCGCTTCTTCGCACACGGAAGTTGGCTGCGTGCCAGATTCGAATATTTCAAAATCGCCCAAACTTGGCTTGACGGCAAATTTCAAATTGAGGTTCTCTTCCATGCTGTGCTCTCAGAATGTAACAGTACAGTTTCACTGTTTTGAACGCTCAAACTTATAAACAATCCCCCCCTCCCCCCCCCCCAGTGTCGAAACATTCAGCTACCCTCATATACACTTTACATTCCGTCACGCTCTTTTTGTTATTCATATGCATTTCCCACCTAAAAACAGTGACTAAAATACGACTAAGATTTCGAAATATTTCATGATTTTCCTTTCTGTCTCCTCTACCTAATCATTAGTACACCCTCTAAGCCGCATGACTAAAGTTTTCAATGTATCCCCTTTTTTGATTCGTACCCGTCTCCGTAGCAGCAGCAAGTGGCGAAGGTGTTGATAGAGTTGTTGAAGCAGTTAGCGGGTGCTTGAGTTTGTCCCAGTGCAGTCTAAAAAGTGGAGTTGTTGTTTTGAGGTATCCCAAGTTTGGTAAACTTACAGTGCAGTTTCCGACTTGGCATTGTTTGGAGAAGACTCCTTGGGAATAGTCGATGGTCTTGACACACGAATTGGCTCCGACCATGCAGTCCTGAAAACGATAATCTTAAATTCTTTACAGTAGTTCAAACCAATAAATACCTGGAGAGATGTTGCTGTCGTGATAGCGTTCGGATCATTAATACTTCCTCGATTGATCTGGTGACATCTGAGGGCGTTTGTAGCGGCCATCAAGGCAAGAATAATTAAGAGGAAGATCGGAAGATTTCGTGACATGATTCTGAAAAGAGATGATGGTCAGAGGAATGAACATGAGGAAGATACAGATATTCATAAAGTTGGGTCAATGTTGGATGGGAAGAAGGAAGAAAAATAGACAATCGGAAGCCGTTTAGAACAAAAAAGAGAATAGAAAACATGAGAAGCGAAACAAGAAGACGGCTCGCGACTCAACACTAATCAGTTGGTGCTTCGGTGAGAAGAGAGAAAGGAGCTCATGAGCAAGCAGTGGTTGGTTGCCATGCTCACCTCTTCTTCCTCCCCTCTTACCGCCTGATTCGATTCAACTCTCCACCTGCGACAACTACTATCACAAACACCCCTACTTCTTTTTCTCCAGAAGAGTGAAGTTAGAAACGGGAAAAGGGAAACAAAATAGAAAAGTTGTGAGGGAAAAGTTTCGAGGACCACATGTATACACATACACCTATCCCCTAATTATAAGTGGAAAAAGGAAAGGAGGGGGAGGACCAAAAAGTGGATTAGATTCTTTGCGGAAACCTTTCAAAACTTGAGAAAAAGCTACCAGGGAAAAAGCAAAGTATACTAATAACAGGTCTTGTATACGATGGAGAAGTAGTGGAGAAGCAATGCACTTTTGAGATTGTTGTAATGCTCAAAACGGGAAAGTGCACAAGCATCACAGTCCTCTTCCATCGTTTTATCATCGTCTATATCAGAGTTCTAGAGATCAGGTGCATGGCAGAGATCTAAAAAGCGGAAGGGATCAACTAGGTCAAAGTTAAATTGAAAGAACAAAACTTTTGCAGAATTAAGAGAGGAATGAAATACCATATGGTGCTGAGAAGCTCTTTTTGTAATAGGCGGGAAGAATTGTATCAGAAAGGGGTATATTTCGTTCTAAAATTTCGTCTAAACCCTATGCTTTAAGGGATTTGGTGCTGAAGACTCGGGTTTGCATTTGACTAATGTATTGTTTTCAGTCCTTAAATGCTACCGACATGAGGGAAAAACGATAAGAATCCATGATGATATGTGGAAATATGTATACCAGTTACCCAGATCTGAAAATTCAATGTAACCCTTTATATAACTCCTACAGTAACCCTATACGTGCTACAGTAAGCCTAGACAACAGTATTGCTTGTTTATATACAGTAATCCTAGAGCTGCCGTATTCCTTAATATACAAACTAAAGTAGTAATTGGTATAGTAACGTACAGTAATCTTTTTCAAAAATCCGTGTCTTTTCTGATTTTGCAAATTTGGTTTTCTATAACATTACGGGAAAACGAATACCAAATATTGAATATCGAAATATTAAGAAAGAGATTATGTATTGCTTCCACCTAAAGATATAATTCTAAACTTTTTTGAAAATCCCTGATTTGATTGTGAGTGTGAGAGGAAATCAAAAGGTCAAAAAATATTTCACATCAGTAGTTTTCAAGAAAGGAAAAATGGAGAGTAATGAGTAAGCCACAATCCCAGAAGACTCAGAACACTAGACTACGCATCGGAACTGAAATTTATGAATAACTTGGCGGAGTTGACTCATTCTTTGTTTTTCTGAGAATCGGAATCTCATTTCAAATTATTAGTCAGAATTCCAATATTACGCACTTCGTCTCCTATCATTTCGCAATGCTTGCAGGTGTTCTGAGAACAAACTTCATACGAGAACCGGTTCAGATACAGGCACAAAACTCTTGTTGCTAACATAAAGATTACGTGTATGATGATGAAGTCCTGTAAATGGACTTGAAAATCGGGAAAAATAGAGGAAATTCATTTCCCAAAAATGATATTCGTGGTAGTCATCTATCTCATTTCCTGCGTACTGATTGCTTCGTTTTGCTCAATGAATAGTCGCAAAAATGAAAGAGAAAAAAGGGAAACAGAAGAGAGAAAGAATACACTTCTCATGATAAGTGATAATTTTATTGTAAGGGATCTTTCCGAATAGTAGAAACAAGAGAGAAATTTCCAGGCTCCAGATGATCCGGAATCTTCAAGTCTTCGTGGAATTTCGAGTGAATCCGTCTTCTCGAATGCGATAACCAACATCTACCCTCCCAACTTCTCTCCATCTGCCCAGTCTCCAACATCTTCGACTCAATCTAATTCCGTTTCTAGCCAATAAAATATTTTTATTTATATTCTATCGACAATAACAAAAACTGAAACAACGGCGGAATCACATTCTGAAAATAAGAGAGATGCGCATGTCATTTTGGAAACCCTACAGTTTTATTACACGGATTAGAGATGAATGTCAAAAATGTCGGTTTTGTGCTGATGATGAAAATTGGGGTGATGACAAAAAAGCAGAAAAAAATAGGCTGGTGGAAGAGATGTCAGAAGAGATTTTTTAGGTGCAGTTGTAAACAGGGCAACAAGAAAACAAGCAGCTGATTTTCAGATCAAAGTTTTTTGCTATGTGATAATCGGGTGGAAGAGAATCAGGCTCGCCAACAAGGATCTAATGACTGGGAATTCAAACGTCATCTAAAAATGCCAACAAACATTCTCACACCCAAAACTTCGTTAACTTTTCTAATGAAATACGTGCCAATATTGAAAACTTCACTGGAAAGTTGAAGTTTGCCCTCTCACGATCTTTCAGGAACACGATGAGATCTTCACAATATATAATAACATTAAAAATAAGTCAAAAGTCGTCCTGAGACCCTGTAGATTGATTCCAGATTCTTCCTTTCATTCCTGATTTTTGGGTTCAACGTTATAAACTGCCGTATTTCTATAAATTGAAGTACACAAAACCATTAACTTTGAGCTCAATTATCTTGATTCACGTGAATGATGTATGAAAATTTGTCAACTGGTAAAAGATTGATGAAATTATGATAAATGATTTATCAGTTGACAAAATTTTGATATTTCACACAGGAACCAAGATAATTGAGCTCAACATTTATGATTTGGATGGGCTTCCATTAAAGGAAATAGGTCTTTAAATCTGCGTTCTCATTCGTTCGGAAGCATTCCAATAGCATTACAGTAAAAACAAAACAATCACAAAGTTAAAAATTACCATACTACCCTCCTCCGATCTGTGACTCAACTCGTTTCGAAAGTTCATCACCTCCAACAAAAAACTGTGCCTATTTTTCCTTTTTTTTCTGGTTTGATAGTAATCCGCTTTGTTTCGCATTTTCACATCACCAACACAGAATTGATTCTCATTGAATCACTCGCGCCGTTTTTTAACCGTCACCCTCTGACGGCGAACGGATGAAATGAGCATGATTTTTCAACTATTATTCTATGGAATTTTGGGAACTTGTCTCGTTTTAGCTCAGGTTGATGTGAATCAAGCATTGAATAAGAATAAGCTGGATGTCGGAACGATATCTGCTTCTGGTCTCAGTGATGCTGAACTTGAGCAGGTAAGTTTTTTACAAGATCCCATTCAAGATTAGCACAAAGATTTCAGACATTCCCTCGAACGAATATTCATCGAATGAGGAATGCTCTCAAATCTCTTCGTCAAAATTGGTCCAACAAGTTACAAGCAATGCCAGCAAGGAATTACCAATCTGCAGGTATCAATCAGGAATCAGAAATCCCGGAACAAGTAAGTTTTCTATATAGAAAATCATCGATTACTATTTTTCTAGCAAACACCACTTCGTGAGAAACCTCGTGATAGGATCAAAGTGGAAGGAGATACTCTTCATCAAGTCAATAAGAAGGCTGGATTGAACGATATTTTGTATCAAGGGGACATGGTGCTTACCGAGTAAGTTTTGCAGTCTTTGCTCATTTTCATAAGATATTTTAGTGATCAAATTTCTACTATTCTGGAGTCCCAACAAGATTCCACAGAAGCAACTCCAGCGAGAGCAAGAAGACAAGCATATCGGTACCGAAATTTGAACATAAGATTTTAAAATCAGTTTTTTAGTGATCGATATTACCCATCAACTACATGGGGAACTTCAGTCTATTACTATTATGATAGAACGGCAAGTGAGTGTTTTTTTAATGTCCCCATTTAGCCCCGATACTAGTACATACTTAAAACGACAAAAGACTAAACAATGTTCAGCGTCAAAAATTGTGAAGGCGTTCGAACAGGCAGTTGCGTTCTGGCAAAATGTCACTTGCATCAATATCATTCAGAGCAGCACAGGTAGAGCTCATTAAAAAATAAAACTTTGAAATTCAAATTTAAAGCTGTCAATCGGATCCGTGTGTTCAAAGGACAAGGATGCTACTCATATGTTGGCAGAATCAGTGGAGTTCAAGATTTGTCACTGGGTACTGGATGTGAAGAGGTATCAAATTCATTTGAAACTAAAAATATCACCAGTCTTCCAGTTTGGAACTGCTGCCCATGAACTTGGCCATGCTCTAGGATTCTTCCACACACAATCCAGATACGATAGGGACAATTTCATCTCTATCAATTATGCAAATATTGATGTGAGTTACAATAGATTTATCATAGACTCATGTTTCCAAAACTTCAGCAATCCTACGTGGAACAATTCGATAAAAGACGTCATCTACAAACTATAACTATGGAATGCCATACGATTATGGATCAATAATGCAATACGGTGCAACAAGTGCATCTTCGAATGACAGACCGACGATGGTGGCAAGAGATGCTGAATATCAAGATACGATGGGATCAGATTTTGTGGGATTTTATGATATTTCTATGATGAATGAGCATTATAAATGCAAAGGTACCTTATAGAAAGTTATTTGGGAGCTTATATAATATGTCGAATTCAGAACTTTGTTCTGCTGGAACATCGGCTCAATGTACAAATGGCGGTTTTCCAAGCCCACGAAACTGTGCTATTTGTATTTGTCCATCTGGATACGGAGGCAATTTTTGTGATCAACGAGTGAGCCAGATTTTTTTTCTTGTCCTAATTTTCTTCCATTTAGCCACCTGGGTGTGGAGATAACTTGAATGCCACAGCAGCTTGGCAATCTTTCACTAATACAATTGGAGATGGTCTGCCAACACTTCGGGATAACCACACAATGTGCAATTATTGGGTCAGAGCTCCAGACAATCAGTCGGTTGAGATTCGGATCAGTGGCTTGACTACGGTCACAATCGATGGATGCATCTTTGGAGGAATCGAAATAAAATCCCACAAAGACCAAAAGTTGACAGGATACAGGTATGGCATCAGATATTAAGACTTTTTACACAGATAATTTACCAGATACTGTTCATCGGCAGATCAAAACACTGTCCGCCGATCCACCGGATCTCTAGTGCCCATAATCCTTTTCAATCGGTACGCGAGCACCAAAGCCGTACTCGAGTACCGGGCTGTCACTCCATCATCTGAATCCACAGTTACAACAGCAACAACGTTTGCCCCTATCGTCAGCAGTTGTCAGGATTTGCATCCCAAGTAAGTTCAAAAGGTTACAAACAAATTCAGTAAGTTTATTTTTTCAGCTGCGACCTTTATAGATATTTCGGTCTTTGTCAAAGTAAAATGATTAGGAAACAATGCCAATTAGCTTGTCGAAATTGTGAAAATCATTCTGTATCGTCCTTCGGCACAAATTTTGGCCCAAACAATGTCTCTAACAATAACTACTTTAATAGCCAAAATAACTTTAATAACTGGTATATGAACCGAAATAATAACTACTACCCATACAACTCTAACCCATTCCCATGGTACTTCTAATCAATACTTCCAGTTGTGCCGCCTACGCATGGAATGGTTTTTGTGTTAATCGATTCTACTCACTACAAGCAAGACATTACTACTGTGCATATACGTGTGGATTGTGCTGGATGAATAATAACTACTAATTCTTAACATAAACCTGTTATCATGATTGTATCCACGGGTATGTACTACCTTTCATTGTATATTGCAAATAAAACTTTTTATCGTTTCATCGAGATGCTTCATTTGGGTCTAATAGAATAGATGTCTAGTGCACTTTATGACACACCGGATCCATTAGTTTGTCTCGAATTCAAATGTGCAGAATAATTCATTGAGAGAGGAGATCCAATGCGTGCACATTTCCGTTCACTCACGAATTCTCGTCTTGTTTCTTCTTCTTCTTCTTCTTTAAAACTCGGTGTGTGCTCATAGCAACCCTCCTTACCCCCCATTTTTTCATTTTCTTTCCTCCCTTTCCTTTCCGTTTCTCTATTTTATTAGAAAAGGAATATGACTGCAAAGGACCAAGATTCTCTCAAAGAATATACAAGAGCTCAAGTGGAGCAGCACTGTACTCATGATGATTTGTGGATTATTTTCAGAGGAAAAGTGAGTATTTTGGAAAAACGATCGATAATTTTTAAATCTCAACATTTGGCTGAATTTGATAACTTTCATCATTCCGCTTTAAGACGGATGTCGGTTAGATTTTAGCCGGATGGTGCCTAAAAACGGCTGTCTAGCGGGCCAGTGTCAGATTTTGGTCGGAAGTTGAAATTTGAAATTCTACTAGGTTGGATTCTTGTCATAAGTTTATTGGAGCTTGGTCGGTTTTAGTGGAGGTCTTATCTGAAATATGGCCAACCTCCGACCAGAAGTTGTCGCGGACGCCCGAGATGTTCAATTTTCATTGAATTAAAAATTATAATTCTGAAAAACTTTTATTTTCCACTTTCTCACTTTCAGGTATACAACATGACTCCGTATTTCAACCAACACCCGGGCGGATTAGCTATTCTTCGTTATGCAGGAAAGGTAAGCAAGATGTGCATCTCACAACAACAAAAAGCCAACCAACAACAACTAAATAATTGAACAGAATTTCAGGACACATCAACTGTTCTCCCATACGTAGCTTCTCATGGAATCGCCTGGAAAGTCGTGGAGAAGAAACTTCAGGAGCATCTGATTGGAAAACTCAAGAAAACATAAACACCTCGACCACTGATATAATATTCGAAATGTTTGAACGTTCAAATTTTCAAATCATAAATCTTTACGAGTTGAAAATCGTTTTTAAAGGTGCATGTGATCACATACACAATTGATTTTGACTCTGCAATAAATCACTGAGAAAACGAGACGATGTGTAAAGAGAAAAGTGTTATCTCACTTAGAGTGCAACGGCTGAGGCAATCTATAGGAACACCAAAAAGTTGTTTTTTGGGTCCCCAATTTCTGAATTTGATATTTTTCTCCGAATTACTTCCGAATCATTCCAAAACTTCCCATTTTTATTGTCCATTTTTTTCATTGTAATGGGGAAAAAGTCAGCTGAACGAAGAAAATTTTCTTGAAACGAAAAAACACGAAAAATGAAACAAAATATTTAAATAGAGCAGTAAAAAGTGTAATCAGAAACAATGAAACGATGAGAAACAACAGCTGCGGATGGATCATTTAGAGATTTCTCTCCCCTTTCTTCTCACATGTAGGCATTGAAAATCTAATAATTTTTGGACTAATTAAGTAGGCGTGCTCCGTTATATTCAAAAGAAGACAGGATTTTTTTGATTCATGCTTAAAAAATTGGAAAAAATCCTTTAAAATTTGAGTTGCAACTACACTGACCTAATAGTAAAACCCCAAAAGAAGAATGTTACAATTCACAGAAAAAAACGGGTCCTTAAATTTTCAATTGCATTCGACAATCATAGCGTTTGGGTCATTTTCCAACACCAAAGGCCATTTTTATATGAAGTCGAATCCAGTGAAACTATAATTTTTAGATAGTAATATTTCACTTGTATCGCTAATTCGACAAATAATCTCTATATTTTATCAATTAACCTGAACAATAGCTAATAGTACAACAAACTTTAGCCAGACAAAGTTCGAGAAATTTGATAAAGATCTCATCTTTCGACCTAGGTCCGTATTTAATTTTTTGACCCCTGAACTCGCAACCACCAATCGACCAATCGACACCAATTGTTTGATTGGACGTGATTAGTGACTTTGACACCTCTCTGTGCATCTCTTATTTCTCTTTTCGCCGCCTGAGTTAAATTCTTCAGATATATGGCATCTTCAGATTTCTCTTCTCGTTATCACCCGATCAGCAACAACTAAAGAAGAAGAAGAATATCAGTCGTTTTTGCACTCACCCATCCGTCATTCATCCATCAATCTTTTGCGTTTTCCACTGCTCACCTCTTCGTGCTTCTCGATCATTATCCTTTTCTTATCCTCAAAACGAAACAGGTCGAAATGTGTCAAGTGATTCCGGAATTCTTTGTTCCTCTACTCCCAAAAACCCCGTAGCGGCCATTCAGTATTCCCCATTTCAATTCTTCTCACCACAGAAAGAAACCTTCCATCTTTTCGTTCCTCAAAAAAGCCTATCCTTTTGCGGTGTGAGCCTCTTCTCTTCTTTGTTCCTGTTTCCTCTAGAGATCCCATGTAAATTATGACCCGAAAAGTGCAGGGTCACTTTTCACTCTTGCACCGCCCATTTCTCACTTTTTGGGAGGCAAGAAGCTTTCAGTGGTGACGTGATTTACGATGGTAAAATCACGTCATTACTCTTCTGAAGGCTTATATCGATAAGGACCTTCAGAAGATAGAAAGGATCAACAAGATAAGTTACTAAAAAAGAAAGAGAAGATTACAATCCCAGTAGACTGTATAATGTCATATCTAGAAGAAAAAGAACCTGAAAACAACGAGAACTGAATCCTAATCAGGATAAGAAAACATTGTCTTTAAAATAAGAAGGAGACAAGCTTTGTCTATCAAAAAACACTGCAGAAACTCAATCCTCAAAGTTTATCACCTGTTTCTTCTGAATTGTTCACTATTCACTTATACACAAACTGATTCTCGCTGCTGGCAGAAAGTTCTAGAGTTCAGAATATTACATTCAGGACTTTTAGATATTACTTTTTTGCAAGTAATATCACTCCCCATCCCACTCTTCTATCCTCAACTTATTGTTCTCAAAGATTCTGGAAGAAAATGTTGTAAATAAAGCTCATGTTTGTTTCATGAGACTTACTTTTTACCCTTCATTCTCTTATCCAAACCGCCCATCATCCCCATCCTCCTCCTCATCCTCATTTTTCTTTTTTCACTCCTTCATCGAACAACATTCAAGTGAAGAACAAGGACAAATCTGGGTAAAAAAGAATTCTGGCGACTTCTCATAATGGCTCCTCAAACTTTTTTGCCCCCCTGAGTTTTCTGTTGTGCTCGACGAGCATCAAGAGATCTGAGATTCGAGAGCAGGAAGAAGGGGAGGTCCGCTCCCTTTTTCCGACAAATCTACTTGATTGCTTCCAGTTTTTTTGACGACTACTTTTTTTGGTAAACTTGCACCAAACCTTTGACCTTTATACCTAATATAATCAAGACTAGGATAAAATGGGATGTATTTCTATAGGGACTTCAGCCTCCATTCGTTATTTTTATTTTTTCTATTCGCTTCCCAGAATAAGAAAAAAAAACTGAGAATAAGGAAAGAATAAAAGTGGGTAAAATGAATGATGAGTTATTGGATTCAATCAAAATATGAATCGTCGAATCGTAAAATTCAGCTATTCCAGGAGTGCGTTTTCGAGATTTCAGAGAATATATTTTGTTTTTTCATCGTTCATCTTTCCCATTTATTTATATAACAGCTTATAGAAAAACAAAAAAAATAGAAGACCAAAAAAATATTGGGTAATGTCTGGAAATGATTCATTTCTGGCTATGAGTGTTCAAGAGTGAATCTGTCGAGCATATTTTATTTTTCTCATGTTTTTATTTTTCTTGCAATACTGACTCCTGACTCCCTTTACGGTTCACTTCATATTTCTCAATTTTCATATAGCCTGTTCATTTTTTTCCCGTTTCTTCCGTCTCATCTGGAGAGATCGAATTCTGAAGATCACTGATGTTTTCTTCATGTTCTTCTCATTTTTCGCATCTTCTTCCTTAATTGAGAACTGCTCACCGAACTAGGTCATTTGTACTTAATTGTGTTAGAAAACATAAAAGTAGTCAGATGATCAGAAGAAAAAAGAAGAGGTAGGTCGAAGGTTTTCCCTTTTTTCATATTCCTGATGAGTTGAAGAACGAAGAGAAGACGGAGAGAACAAAGCTGAAAATGGAAATAAAACGTTTTTCCGTTTTTTTTCTTTCTGGCTGGAACAAGGAACACATTCCAAATTGTTCCAAAAAACTTCCCACGCCTTCTGGAAAGAATGCGCACAGAAACAAAAAAAAACTTTTTTTCTGCAAAAAGTCCAAAAAGTGATCGTGGCTCAATGTCCAGTAACCCAAGATTGAACCAATCTCTGAGACCTTGTCCCAATTTCCTAAATTCTGCTTCCTTTTTTGTCTTCCATTCAGTTAGGTCAACTAAATTACCTCTGTCTCTTCTTGTTCTATATCCATTCGAGAATGGCTTTTTCTTTTAAACCCGAATTTCATCTATTTTTTGCTCATTCTGTGGGTTTCTTTTTGTTTTTAGAGGAAGAAATACGATTTCTACTATTAGTGTCATTTGCAGTAGTACACACCCTCGCAGGGAAGATGTTTCAAACACTTTCATGTCATTTTCATCACAAGATTCTAGATTCGCAATTAAGAGTTTGAAATCTTTCGAATTCTAGAGAAAAACGGACGTCGTCGGTGACCATCAACATCCTGTTTATTTTTGAGCCATCTCGGAAAAAACATAGTACTAAGGAATGCATACGTTTTACTCATGGTCTCTTCATCTCAAATTTCGTGTTTCCCAATTAGGTCCCCAAATGTCTTGACATCCTGTTCTATAATTTATTGGATCGGTGAGCGTCTGTGTCTAATTTCAGAAGAGGGACCAATTTGATCTAAATTCGAGAATAAAAAACTAGAGCGCATTTAATTCAGAAAATTCACAGTGTTTTTTCAGTTTTTTGGGATGTCGAAAATCCCGAAATTTAAATTTGCGAAATTTTAGAATATTCCGATTTTCAAATTTTCGAAACATTGACAAACAGATTTAAAAAACGCAAAAAAGTAAAAATAACTCCGCTCAAGGTCCAAAGAAACTTTTCTCGTGCGCCTATGGCATATCGCAGTCCAAAAAGCTAATTCCAGAAAAAATATTCAGAAGTTTCCGGATCTTAATTTGATTCCGAAAAAAATCTTCGTAAATTTCCGACCGGAATTTCATTCCAAAAATTTTCCAAATTATTAAGGTTTGGAATTTCATTCCGAAAATGTTCAGAATTTTCGGGATTCCGTTCCGAACAACCCTGTTCTAAATGTTGTTTCTATTTCTGTTTGAAGAGTTATGATTTGATTATTTTAGACTTTTTCAAGTATCTCTGAAACTTCCTCGTGTACATTCTTTGGTCATTTTTGCCACTTCCTTTTTTCAAACTTTTCTGTGCAAATGATCGCCCTTTGAATTCTAATCAGCCCTCCTTGTAAGTATCTTTTCGTTTGTTATTTAACCTATATTCCTACTAGAAAAGTAACAAAATCTTCCTCCTTTTTTTTCCTTTCTTCAGTCATTTTCAGACCGAGAGTCATCAGACCCGGAGCCCCCGAAAACGATGATGACGTTGGTGGCGGTCTGATTCTTCTTTTTTTTCACTCTATTCCTATTTTGTGTTTTCCTCTGAAAAAATAGCTTCCAACAAAACAATGAGAGATTCAGTGACATCCAGGAATATCTCGAGTCAAATTAATTTAGTGGAAGCTCCCGGAAGTGATTCGTGAAATTTTTAACTCAAAAAAAAAGCATTGAGTGGCTTCTTCTTCTATTGTCTGGGTGGCAAAGAATGGAACATAAAAGAATGTCATCTATCATTTTTCTACTCTGTTCCCCTTTTCCTTTTCTCCTTCTTTTTAATTGGTCCCACAACGTTCAGAAGGCGTTCCGAAGAACACAAAACACGTGTTTTCTGGAGTCGTAGTACCAGAAGAAAAGCCACAATTTTCAAAAGGTGTTGCACCTTTCGTTTTCTCCTCTTGTCTTCTTTTTCGGATAAAGGAAAAGAAAGATGTTCTTTTTCTTCGTCGTTTCTTTTTTCACGTCATCCGGCTTCCGGTTTTCTCAATATCAGACTAACGAACCCAACAGTTGTAAAAGTGACAAGTAGGAGTATTTTAAACTTTTCCTCGTGGTTTAAGTTGTTTTCTTTGAAATATGGAAAATAAGGGTCCTAAAAGTCCCTAACACTTTAGAGATAAAATAATTATAGTCATTTTTGCAAAGTGCCTCTTCAAAGTTGTTTGAACTTTCAATAAGTTGCTTTTTAATTACTTCTCTATTTATAGTAATTTTTGTCTTGCTGCATATATTTCGGAAATTAAAGTTTCACCAAGATGTTTGTTTAATGGACGACACAACCGAGAGAGTACTCTTTCAATTTAAAAAACTTCACAACTTTTCAACTTTTCACAGACCAACTCAGCAAAAAAGGCTCTTGTTTCAATTCCAAATGTGCCAAGAAGTTTGTAGTCATCACGTATGTAGGTCAACAGATTTCCTAATTCTTTGCAAACTGTGTTTGCTGAAATTCCAGTTTTTAAACCTCTCGAGGATTTTATCTTGTGGGGAGTATTGAAGAACCAACACATCAGAATGCATACGGTAAAACCCGTAATAGAAGGGTCCCGTCAAGTTTGAGGTCAATTATATCGGTTCTTTTAAGAGCTATTTAGCATGTCTCAACTGACATAAAATTCGTGATTTTATGATAAACTATTTATCAGTTGTCAACTTTTTTATTTCTTATTCAGTAAGGGGGCCTTCTAATACAGGTTTTACGGTACCTGAACTCAAAAATAATCTCCGGAACATCTCCTTTTACCTTCCTATTCATCACTTGCTCCTTTTGACATCATCCAATCCTTGGAAAACTGGAAGCGTTCTTTCTTCTTCCATGATAAGTCTTTTTTTGACTTTGCATAAATCATAATAGATTAAACCAAGAAAGAAGCTCCACCCCTTCTTTCCTTCTTTACTCTATTATTCTTTTTTACCTTCTTCTTCTTCCAACCAAACTCCTCTTTCCACTTCTACAGTAATCTCAAAACCTCAAAGATCTTCTTCCCAACTTCCTCTTCTTCTTCATCTTTGAAATTTTCTTTCGTTTATTGTTCAGGCTCATTTTTTGGGTGTTAGTTAACTCGAATTCTGTGAATATTTTACTTGTTTTCGTCCGTCTGCCAAAACGTCGCCAAATGGGAGGACCTCACATTGTGATCTGTTGCCTTTCTCGTTCCAGGGAAAGCTACCGTAGGGCGGCTCTCAAAATATTTTCTTTCTAGGTCATAGCGCCTGACGTGCAAATCTAAAATTGCCGTGTATTTCGTTTCTCAGTCGTTTTCGAAAATTCTGCATGAAAGGGAGGAGGGAGGTAGAAATAAAAAACCAAGGGAAAATTATATGGTTCCATTTTGTTTTGACTCTGCGTTGGTGGATTTGAAGAAGAAGGGTATGATGTCAGAAACGTCTTCTTCCCAATATCTAGATCTTCTTGTTTCGAATCTCTATCTAAATAGTTTTTGATCACTCAAAGTTTAATATCAAAAAGAGAGATTTCATTGGGCTATGTCAGGCGGTTTTCTGTGAGAGGTGTCAGAGCCAAAAGGTGCGACTTTCGATAATTGATGAGTTTTCTTGACCTCTTCTTCTTTACCCATTTTTCAATGATTTCATCTCATCAAAAGCAAAGAAAAAATAGCGAGAATTGGCGTTTTGCGGTGTGTGCTTCCATAGATTTCATTTCATGGGTTCTCATTCTTCCATCGTCTTCTTCGGAATTCTTAATTAAATTTTTAAGAATCCTTTTTCCTTTTATTTTCTGAAAAATATATATTCCCCTGTCAGAAAGAGTCTTCCGAAGATTCACGGATACCGTAGTTCATTGTGTGTTTTGGAATGCATCTCAATAAAAATTCAGTCAGTCAGCGCTAGCCATTCAAAGATTACTCATTTTCTTGTTGGCTGGAACCTGGAACACCAACCAACATTAAGACGATTTTCAATTCTTCATTGGTTTTCACAAATTGGCTGTCTGATGTTTGATCCATGACGTCTACTTCTTCTTTATCTATTCAGAGCTCCTCCTTTTTTCTCGTAAATCAGTTCTTCTATGTAGTATCCCAAAGTGACCCTAAACATGTTTCTTAACATTTTTCAATTTCTCAATCAATCTCAACTGCTATCTCGAAAAAATCTTCAAGTTTCTGAGTCTTTATCCCAACTTTTTTTCCTCCCGTTTTTCAATGTTTCACTAATGGTGTGCCAGTCACTCTTTGAGATTTCCATCCGATTTGGCAACATTTTGTTCTCGTGATTGACGAATCCACTTCAAAAAAGTCCGTATAAAATGTGGCACCTCTTCTCAATTTTGTTTTTTGTTCTCTTCTTTATTTTGCTGGAACTCTTTTCACAGAATTCTTTATTATTCAGGTAATCGAATTCTATGAGTTCTTCGTAATGGACGGTGGAAATCTGACAGCGGAAGAATTGCTTTCATCGAATGGATCCAGCACGGTAAGAGCAACAATAGGGATGTGGGGCGGAGAAGAATTTCGTTGAAAAAAAAGTAGAATTTTAGAATCGTGGTTTTTAGGAATCGGAAATTGTGTTTCGAAGGTGTTCAGAGAGCAGTAAAACTAATAACTGATGGTGAAGTAGATAACAGATCGTAGGAAACAACACATGTTAGTAGGATCCAAAACCCTACAGGACAACTAAAATTCGTATTTGAAATTTCTCCCTTGTTGAAAATATCAATTACCGTAAAACCTGTAATAGAAGGACTTCCTAACTTATAACTTTGATCTCAATTATTTTGGTTCCTGTAGGAGATAAGAAAAAGTGGTCAGCGGATATTCTGTTTATCATAATATTTCAAATATTTTGTTAGTTAAAACATTTTTGATATATTTGATGGGAACCGAGATAAATGAGCTGAAACTTGGCAGTGTGGGGTCCCTTCTTTTACAGATTTTACGGTATTAATTTTCTGATTACCATGATTGCAATCAGAGATACGGAATGTAGGATACTTGGCTGGGCCAGGCCGGCCTTTCCCGGAATTTTCGGGCTTTCATTTATTTTTTTTCCTGTCTTTTCAAAAGAAAATTCGGAGTCGATAGAAAAACATAAACAAAATTTATGTCAAATAATGAGCTCGACAAGAACGGAGTGCCATAAAAAAATAATCCCAAAAAGGTGAAAATGTTTTGGCAATTTCTAGATTTTTCCATTAAAGGTGGGGGGACATGAAAAAAATAATGTTCTCGAAATTCCGTTCAAAGATGCCCCTCGAGGAGTTGAACTTGTGCGGGCGATGATTGAGGGTGCGGCGCCGCTACCGACTGAGCCACGCGGGCAAAGAGAAAGCGTACGCCCGTTTGCATACATAAAGGCGAGGACGACAGCTGTACGCAGAGTGACATTAAGCGTTATACACCGTGACGGTAGAATGCATACTCTAGCTACAAAAAAACTACGAAAAATCTCCTGCCCCCCCCCCCTTTAATGGACAGGCCAGCGGGCCAGGTTTTTTTGAGTAGGAACATAGTTCAAATACTTTCTGTTTCATCTCACAGCAACAACATATTTCCAGGCTGCTCCAATTCCATATTCAATGCCGTGTTGGGCGCCAGACGATTACCTAATCACAGAACGGTTTTGGATATGTGTTGTAGCAGGAATCACCGTCTCTATAATTTCAATTATATTCAACACATTCATATTTTTTGTATTTGTTACCAACAAACAACACAGGTGGGTGAAACTCAATCAACCGTTATTATCTGTTCATGCAACGATTTTCAGACGTTCTCCAAATCTGTATCTTCTGTTACTTTCCCTGTTTGACGTATTTATCGCATTTGCTTATATCGCTGTGATGTCAGTTCGGATTCTGATCAACTTCACATCCAGTGTGTTTCTCAAATCCATCTGGGTTCGATATATGATTCCGATGCTAACTGTCTCTCACATCGGAATCACTTCTTCGACGTTCCTCATCTGCTTCGCTTCCATCGAACGGTACTGCATTACAGTCAACAATTTCCTGGTACCCTACCTGCAAAAACATCGTCCGATTCTTACATTCATCGCAATCATGTGTGGTATTGTGAGCAAAGGAACCTTCGTGAAGGAAGTTGATGTAAGTCTTAAAACATTAAAAACAGAGAATAACTTAATAATTTTCAGATTCAACTCAATCCAGACTGTTACGGAGAGCTGAACTATTGGAATGTTGTACCTTCAAGTCTCCTCGACGAGTTTCCGCTCTTCAACCAATACTGGCGCTTCTATTTTCGTAACATCTTCACTATTCTGGCACCTTTCTTCATTCTACTTCTAGTCAACTGTCTTCTTCTATTCCAACTTCGAGAACACGTATTGAAGAGCAAGGGTGCAGATCACGACAAGCAGAATGTCAAAGAGAAGAAAGCCCGTATCCGTGCAACTACGAAATCAGTGGTTATCATCGTTTGCACCTATCTGATGTCCAATTTGCTTTCCGTTATTATCACAATCTGGGAATATATTGATAGTGCTTCCATCTTCAGCGAGTGAGTTTAAACGGAATTCATTTAAAGCATTCATCACACGGATTTCAGAGATTGGATAGCATTTTACGTTCTCTCTGTTGATGTTATTTCCCTTCTGACAATAGTGGCTTCATCTGCAAGACTTCCGATTTATGCATATTTCCAACCGCTTTTGAGAAAAGAGATGGGACAATGTTTGGGTATGATGTGCTAAAATTGATTTCTGAATCTAATCATTTATGTTTCAGGTGACTGGTGTTGCTGCATTCCAGAGGACAACAAGAAATTGTCTCTACTCGACGAACTCCAGATTCCAAAGACACAACTGATTTCCACTCCAGATGGTGAATCTCCAAGCATCAGCTCAAAAATTGAATTCGTTTAACTTAATGACTCTTCTTCTTATTTTTTACAGCTCGTATTTTGAATAATCATAAGCAATAATGATAAGACTTTGTCAAGTCAACCCACCCTCAACGGGTCTTTTGTTTTTTCTTCAATTCTCTTTTTTCCCATTCTTTTTCATGCAAATAAATTTTGTATCAACATAAAAATATCGTCTTTATGTGAAAATCAGAAGAAGAAGGAAAATAACCAGTAACAATGAGAAAGAAGAGGTAAAACAAAAAAAGGTCAAGAACAGATGATTTATTCTTCCATCATCCATTATCCAAAGACGTTCTCTCTTTGGATTCCATCGATTTTAGACCTGCAGAGATTTTGAATGAAAATATGTTGAAATACAATAATAACTAACCATCTTGCAGTATGGATGCCAGATCTATCTTTTTGGATTCCTCCACTTTTTCCTCGATCGTCGTTATCATTGGAAGCAAATCCCTTTCCACTCTTTGAGATAGTATTGGAGATTTATGTATCATCACTGTCTTGTTAGCAGGTTCAGCTGGATACTGAAACTGTTAATTCTTAAAAGATGATCATGAAACAAACTTTCTAACCTTGGTGATATATCCTGGATCCCAGATGTAGATGTAATAAACGCTCAATGAGATAGCTGGAAGAGATACAGAAAGAATATATCCTAGCACTGTGATGATTCGGATCCATCTGACATTGGAGTTTTCGAACAGTGCTGAATGTGTAAAAACTCACTTGACACCACTTTTTTGAGTGAATTTTGCTCGTTTGTCAGATGAATAGATTGGTTGTTTGGAACGGCCACGCATTCGCGCCGAGTAAGAAAGATGGTTGGCTTGGGACATCTGGAAATGAAATGGTTCGAAATGTGATATGGAAAATAAGGAATTGTATAAGACTGTTAGCTATTCATAAGCAATCACATAAGTTAAAATTGTTTCAATACACTCTTATTGTTTAAAACACTGACAGTTGTAGCTGATCAAGGCTATGCCACGGCCGACCCATCATATTGATTAGAGTACTTCTGGGGTAGTTAGGACACGGCGGCTACCGGACTTGGTAGTTTCTGGGTCGGTGAGCGTATTTTCGAGAGATCGGACTGATTGACTCACGGCAACCTACCCACGGTCAGATTCACGGCCGGCAGCGGTCACGAACTTCACAGCCTTGAATCTGATCAGCAATGGTCGAAGGCAAAACTAACTTCGGGAACTAAACTTATGAGATTCAAGACACACTTTTCTTTTTAATTCTTAATGAGAATTTTGAGGTGGACGCTAAATAGTTGAAAAACGACATATATGATTAAAAATGAACAAAAATTAGAAAACTTCCAGCTGTCCTAAACTTCCGACTATTTCACAAGAAGTTTTTTTAGAGAACGGATGAGAAGCCAAACAAGCGGTTACTACTAGCAATCTTTCCTAATAATAATAATAAGAGTGTGATCATACTTATTCGTCAAACCTACTCTACAGATGCTTCTGTTCAAACTTGTAATAGTAAGTTAGAAAATCTAACCGTCAAAATCGAAATAGCTGTCTGAACGGGAAAAGGTGGCAAAGATCAACGTAAGATAGGAAAAATGCACAAAAGGGATGAGTAGTATGAGTATGGAGAGCCCCCTCTACTCTTGTGTGAAGGGCTTCTTCTCCATCCTCTTCTTTTCCTTTTTTTTCTTTCATCTTCCTCCCCAACCCCTTCTTTTCCATCCTCTTCCGCCCTTGTTCTTCTTTTTTTCCACCCTTTTCTGAATCGATTCTCACGCCTTTCTCCGCCACTTTCTCTCGCTCTTCTTTTTCTACGAGAATAAAAATTTGATTCGAATGGCTGACGGCTCGAAGTGAGATAGAGAATGGAGAAACTAAGGAAAAACGAGAAGCGTCTGGCAGATGGACGAAGAGCACGAAGATGACAAAGAGCAGATGAAAGTTTTTCTTTTTGAAAAAATAAATAGAAGATGTAGAATACAGATAAAGAGCTTGATCAGGGTGGAGTTTTAGTTCAGTGAGCACTCAAAAACTATTCAGAGAGGAACCAAAAAAGAGAGAACGAATCGGTCTAATCTTGAAAAAAATGAAGTCTTCTTCAAGATTGAATTTCCTGAAGAAACATTTTTATCGGAAGAAAACTAGTGACACATAATCAAACATCATTGTGTGTTGTCTTCTAATGGTACGCGACTAGAGTAAAACTGTGAAATAAAAATAAAAGCTTGGTTCTTAAGCGAGCTCATGACAAACGGGAACTGAATTGGAATGAAGCTTAAAATGGTGGATTCTTAAACGCACATACTGTAAAACCTGTATTAGAAGGTCCCCTTTCATAGAAGGACCCTTCTAATAGAAGGGCTTTCCGAATAAGGCTCCAAAAATAGGAAGATAATTCTTCACAATTGTGTTTCCTGAAATTCAATATTCCCATACGTTTTCATGAAAAATATTCCGAAATTTCACAAATGTCACAAAAATGTTTTCAAACTCAAAACTGTCTTGCTCAAAAACTTGCTCAATTTTGATGAAATTGAAAAGTTCTCGTGAATTTTGAACAGGAATTCACCGAATTTTCCGATGAACAATTTGGGAAATAATGGCTGGAAAAATAGAAGGATCTCTTTAATTGAAGGGTCCTTGTAATATAAGGGATCTCCGGAGGTACTTGGCACAATACAAAGACCGGTCTTTCTAATACAGGTTTACGGTAAGTGGAAAAGTTGAGTTCACAACTTTTTCTAATTGGTGAGCGTCTCTGGAAATTGAAGATTAATTGCGGCTATTATTCTTTCCAAACAGCTCTCTCAAATCAGTTGGTTTATGTTAGCTGTTAGTAATGCTTCTATAACTTACACTCAACACAGTTTCAGTATTTAAAAAAAATCAAATTTTCTTCTATTTCACGAATAGAGCAACAAAAAAAAACTAAAGTGAAGATGTGTAATCGTTCAGCAACTAAATGTCCATGTCGCAGGAGGAAAACAGATGCCCTCCAGCCAGCACCAGCTCATAAAATCTGAGACCCCTACCACCACCAGCTAGATGCTCTTCTCTTTCCACTTCCATTTTTCTCAAATGATGAATGTAACTTGATAGTAGTCACACTTCTTCCACTCTTTTTCGAAGAAAAGAAACAAAATACTTACTCTTCTTTCTTCTGCAGTTTTTTTGCTGATTTTCTCCATGAGATCCTCTATGGATAACCATTCGCCACCACTGCTTGCCATGGTTTATCTGGAAAAAGGAAACAGAAACATAAAGTATTACAAAAAAATGGAAGAGAAAATGTCAGAAGTCAAAGAATGCCTTCTCTACCAGAATCATGTCACTGGAGGCGGGAAAATTGGAATCCAATTTGTATTGGGAGAAGGAAAAAGATAGAAGGAAGAAGATTTGGTTTTGATGTGAATGGGACAAATGGACCACACTAAACTGAAGCAAAAATAGTTTGTATTAGAAGGCTGCAACGCAGAAAAACACTTGAAGGTCCCAGTCAACAACGGCAAATAACGAAAAAACGTAGATAAAGAAAACAAACAAGAATGATTAGTTGATCCCTTGGTGAAACTAAATCATGTGAAATTTGAACGTTTTCGAAGTTTAAAAAAAACAATGGATTACATCATTGATTACGTTTGGAAAAGTGCCATGTGATGACAACAAGCTATTGCAGAAGGCACTTTGAGAGAAGATGATAGATGTAATATGCCAGAGGGCATCTTGAATAAATTTAGAAAACGTTCAATATCTTAGTACACATTAAACGCATTTCCAATTCTCATAAAGTCTTAAGAAACATGCTCAGTATTGTTTCTACATAGAGGATTGGATTAAACTTCCATATTTTAATTTTCTCGAACCCAAAATTTCTATCTTTATTTGTTATCAAAAATTCTTGTTCTGTATTATTTACAGTCAGCATTCAGTCCGTGAAAAGCATCTTCTCATTATTGTAATCATTATTATTTGCACAGGAAAAGTGGGACTGGTGGATAACGTCATCCGTTATAACGGTTAGTTGGCGGCTGAAGAGGAGCAGGATTATATTTTTATTCATGTAACGCAATAAATTAAAATATGTTTTTGTAAATCTTACTGTAGATTTGGATATTCTGGATGAAAAACCCTATAAATTGTTTTGCTCAATCATTTATTGAGCTACCAGCCATCTGTTTGCCGCGTCTCCAGCACTTCAAACAGCTACGATATGCAAGTTAGAGATAGGAAACTGGAAAAAAGTATTTATCAGGTTTATCAGGAAGAAATAATTTTAAGATACCAATGAATCGGAGAAATCTTCCCAAGGGAACAATAAGCGAACTCGTTTCTGATTGTAAGAAGCTTCTTATGGGTTTGCAGTTCGATGTCTTAATTAACAATTATTTTTCACTCAATTATGTTTTTTTATTGTTGTATGAGAGTGTTTTTTTGAGAATCCTTACGAGGAGATGGTTCGAAATTGAAGCATTATCTTACTATTGTATTGAATGAAATAAGATTTTTGTTTTAATGTGTGTCAAGAGTACCTTTTGAATTTTGAATAAAATATTTTTTATCTTGTTTCTAGATAGACTTCTTCCAGGGTCAGAAAAATCGATCGAAGGTCGTTCTTATCAGTCACACTCAGTTGGCAATCAGTAATCGGAGAGCACTGCTCTCTCATTTTTTCCAGTTCAACCAACAACTTTCGTTTTAATTAAATCAGGAACAATGAAGTTTTTCGTTGCTTTGATTCTTGGAGTTCTCCTTCTTTCCACTTCTATTTCTGCCCAAACTCCAATTTCGTGTGCATTCTGCTTGTCTGGAATTGCTCAAATCAATCAACAAATCGTTTCTTCTCCTGATATGCAGGTAGTATCATTCTAACAAACAGCTATATAAAAATTTGAATATTCAGGCTCAAATGGGAATCCAAGCATCCCAGGGCTGTGATCAGATTCCAGTGAAAAAAACTCGTCAGACTTGTCGTGGAAGCTTGAACACAAACTTTAGCATTTTCTATGCGGTATTTCAAAAAGTTTGCGTTTGGTTCTTTAATTCTGAAATTTCAGAACTTCACTGAGCAAGCCAACAACTCTCCAACTCAAATGTGCATCAATATGGGAATGTGCTAGAATCACAATCAATTCAAAATTTATCTTCAAAAATAAACAAAAATTATTAGTTTCAAGAAAGCGATGTCACGTCAAGATACTTTACAAATTACGACCCGTATCCATGTTACGATCGAGTTTTGTCATTTTCTTACTTTTACAATTGAAATTGGATTACTATCTTCCGAAAAGCCCCCCAAAGTTATTTCCGATTCCACCAAGATCAAATCCAGTAAACTGTTGAAGAATCTGCCCAGCTGCCTTCGCAGTAGCCTCTTTTCCTGGCTTCCCACCTTGTCCAGCTGCTTGTGCGCCCATTATTCCTTGCTGAATCAATCCGAACAGTCCTAGATCCTGTCCATCTTGACCTCCAGCTCCGCCTGCTGCTGGTGGAGGTGCACCTGCATTTGGATTGGGTGCAAAGTTTCCAAGAGGTCCCTGGCCAGTTGGACCTAATCCACTTCCAGTGAACATTCCAATGGCTCCGAGAGCTCCCTGACCAGCTTGGCTATTGCCACCAAATGATTTGAAAGCATCCACAAATGGAGATGGCGGTGGAGGAGGTGGGGGAGATGGAGGTGGTTGTGGCCGACGAGTTGTGTGTGGACGTGGTCGGAATGGAGCGAGAGTTGGTGGAGGTGTTGCTGAAATTCAGATTGTTTAATTAGGAATACTTCAACCGTAAACACTGTAATAGAACACCAGCCCCAATTTTTGCTTTTGAGCAAATTTATCTCGCTTCCTGTGAAAGATATCAAAAAGTAATCAACTGTCAAAATATTGGTGATAATATGATAAACTTTTTATCAGTTGACCACTCTTCAAAACCTTTCACAGGAAATGATATATGGGCTCAAAGTTGACTGTTTGACGATCTTTCAGAGTGTTTACGGCGGATATAAGTTACAACGTAACAACACTGTATTCCGAAGTAAAGAGACAAATATCATCAGAACGTTTTTGTGTGAAGTCTGTCTTGATATGCATTGTCAGGCTTCTCTTGAAGCTGTGTAACTTACGTTTACACATTTCTGCTACCTTTTGACACTGTTGATAATCCTCGAAAAGATTCGCATTCGTCTCGGCAGTTCGACATCCAGGAAACCAAAATTCGTCGCATTGCAACGTCTCCTAAACATGTCCCATACTTTTTGTGTATGCTTTTTCCAAAAAAGTAATGCCAAAACCAGTCCATCTCAACTACTACTACGATGCCAGAATACCCACTTTATTATAGGTGAACATTGGCCGAAAGCCACAAAACCTTCCGTTTGGTACGCCCATTTTGCAAATCGCCAAAGGATCAGTTGGAGATGGAGTGACAGATACAGCTGAAAAAGAAAGGCATATGAGTCATCGAAAACACAAAAGGTGACAGACAACCTCGATGCTTCTTTTGTTCTCGCCGTTTTTTTTTTTCATTTTCAGAGTAGTTTAATGTGGTTTACACTTACAAGTTCTGTTTGTAATTCTCTAATGTTTGGTCGAGAAAGGAAACAAGAAATCATTATTTACCTGAAGGAGACGGTATCATTGGAGAGATGCCATTGGGAATTGAAGGTTGTGGCATGAATGGAGATGGAGTGGGACGGATGGATGGTCCTGGAGCAACACCTCCGTTTGCAGCGGTTATACACTGAAATTGATTAGAATCAATATAAGAAGAAACAGAGATTTTCAGGAACCTCCAACGGAATCGTTCTACATGTATTAGCTGATGAATCTTGAAATTTGGCAGCTGGCCTAGCACATATTTGACGTGGAAAATCACAAGTATGTGGGTCACATTTTGTAGTGGCGATGTTGGTGTAGTCTGTGGATCCTAAGAAGTCTTCGCCTAAAAATACAGTACCTATAGGCAAGTTTAGTTGGGTGAAGTGGTTTAGCATATTGGTACCGTAACCCAAGAGTCCACTTAAATTAGAATGGACCATAGAATGCATAGTTTTTTTCTAGATAAAAAATCTTCCATAAAGCCTTCCAACTGACACAAAATCTATAAATACAGAAAACTCACATTCTTCAAATTCGAACAACTTCTCGAGGAAGGGATCAAGTTCATCTGGCAGCTGACCGAGAACAAAACCAATCAAGATCGAATTAGCGGATAAGAGGAGAAGAAAAAGTTTTGCGCAACGGCCACTAGCCGACGACGATGATAGCGATGGCGTCAAGAAGCGGCAAAGACGCAACACCATTTACACGGCCGATGACGACGTCGAATGATTCAGAATCAAAATTGGAAGCGAGAGGTGGTAGACGTAGATGACGAGTTGAAGAAATAAGTAGATGACGAAGCAGCAGCAGAAGAAGAAGAAGAAGAAGAAACAGATGGAGAAGCTGTGAAAGGTGAAACCATGTGTAATGTTTCAGTAGTTGAAGAGGACGTTGGTGTAGATGACAAAGGATTCTCGTAACATTTATGTAAATTTGAAAACGATTCGTGAAGGGAAAGTATACGGAATAAGGATTGGTCAATTGAAGTATTTGAGAGGAAACAAACGGCCAGGAGGGGGATTTCTCTCTCTCCTCGAATCCAATCCGTGACGATTCGTTCAAACTGGGCAAGTTCTCGCAGTCTCTAAATCTATGCATATATCCCTCAATTTCTCTGTCAGATGAGACACTACTTCACATCGCCATTCCTGATGATCCGGTTTTGAGGAAGAAATGATGAGAGATCGAGGCACGATCGTCTGATTTTCCTCTTCAAAATGTTTTGGTGATGTTGGCAGGAGGAGCGTGCCAAAACAACTTTCGATGTAAGTATTTCAGGGCAAAATGTTTCGTTTTTCAAGATCGCCATGGCATACGCAACCGACTTCTGGAAACCGGAGAAAGAATGGGACATTCGAGATGAACTGGGGCTGAATGTATTCAACGGATTTCAATTGAAGAACGAAATACTTTCTTATCCTGACCATACGGAGTTAAAATGTCTGACTACTTCAGCTGAAAAACTCATTAGATCTCTGCGCAAGAACTGTAAACCTGGAGGCTGATGTTTCAAGTTGTTCAACTTTTCGTAACAATTTTCAGAAAAATTAGATTACTCAATTTATTATTCAATTCATTTTTTAACGATTTCGAACAATTTTCGTTTTGTAATTCATGATTTTTTTTTCGCACAGTTTTTAAGAAGATGTTCATTTCTCTACAATATTCCAACGACTTTCATGTAGCCCCTGTGGTGTAATATACTTTTCATTTTACGATTCATATGAACTGTTTGTTCATCTAAAGTTTGGCGAAATTTGTTTTTTCGCATTTGAATTGCCGCCATCAAGCAAACCTGCACATCTAATGCAGTTCTCTTGCGCGTCTGCGCATCTTTCCGTCAATACATTTCCACCGCGACAATTTCTCGTCGACAGCCACCCGACATCACTGCGCTCTCCTTATATTCTCCGACCATTGATACGCATGTGCTTGGTTGTCTTCTTCATTTTCAGTTATTTTTTCCTCGTTGCGTTCTGAAATTTTCGTCAAATTCTCTTCGTTTCATCCCACGAATCCTTCTAAAATTTTACTCGTTGCAGAAGAACCATGGATCAATTCCAAGCTTTGATTGAGCCAGCTCGCCAATTCTCAAAAGACTCGTACCGTCTAGTCAAGAGATGCACAAAGCCAGACAGAAAGGGTGAGTTTTGGAATGATAAAATGCTAACTATTCATATGTTCTGTTTTTTCCAGAGTACCAGAAGATCGCCATGGCCACTGCTATCGGATTCGCCATTATGGGATTCATCGGATTCTTCGTCAAGCTCATCCACATCCCAATCAACAACATCATCGTCGGAGCTTAAGAATTCATTCTTCGTGAATTATAAAAATATCGGGTTGTTCTTTTCTATGTTTCCGCCGTCCCTCCCCGCCGACGAGGAGCACGGAACGCACTTCTCCCTCTCGTCCAATTTTCATGTAGAGTTTCACATTTTTGTCGTTTCGTTTTAATCATTCGAAATCCTCTATTGTGATTTAATTTATTTGTGTCCCACTTTTAATTAACTCATAAATCTTCAAAAAAAGGTAAAAACTGTTCGACTTACTCGCAAATAGAGGATTTTCCAACTGAACATTTTTGCTCGCATGTTGATGCAAGACAAGACTGGCAAGAAAAAAAAATTGATTGCAGTCTGAATGGTCAAGTTTGTAATAGCGATATCTGGGAAACGGAAATCTGGTAAAGACTACTGCACCAATAAATTAATAAAAGCATTCGAGAAGATACAATTATCTGTATCAGCTGTCGGCATATCACACAGTTTGAAGGAAGAATACGCAAAGATTCACAGTAAAACAGTCATCAGTATTCGAATAAGTTTAAAATCCACGTTTTAGATCTGAACTTCGCAGAACTATTAACAGATGGACCGTACAAGGAGCAGTTCAGAAAAGATATGATACGATGGGGAGAAGATGTCAGGAATAAAATTCCCTCAGTATTTTGCAGGTTTTCGATCAGTTAAACCCAGGATGTATAAATATCAAGTTATTTTCAGAGCTGCTCTTCTTTCTGTAGATGATAGCGACATTGTAATCGTTTCGGATTGCCGACGAATAACAGATCTCGAGTTCTTCGTTAGTAACTATAAAACTCTCACAGTTCGTGTTGAGACTATCGAAGAGCACAGACAGCAACGGGGATTTCGATTCGTGAAGGGTATTGACGATGCGGAGTCAGAATGCGGCCTGGATGACTACAAATTTGATGTTGTTTTAAAAAACATAACAGGAGAAATAATCGATCCTCAGATAAAAAAAATTGTTGCAACAGTAAATTATGAAATCAATAAACTCTAAAACAACGAACAAGTCTATAACAATGTCGATACTGAATTGCTAAATAATAAAAACCTAAACGAAATTGACGATTTTCAATCATGATTGGCTGGGATGTGCACGTTTTTAGTGAGATCGTCGAAGGCCAACTTGTCCAAATACGCATTTCGATCCAGTGAAATCAAAAGAGGTCGTTTTCCAACGAATGCGGTAGCCAAGGGAATCCACACTTTCTTCATCTCAGGAGCAATGGCCGCGTCCACAACATCAGCAGCCGAGAATCGAAGTGCTTGTTTTTGCATCAGGAAATTGTAATGAATGGTCGTATACAACTGAAACTCAATTTTCTAACAGCTCTCTGTGTAGTTGTTCAACCTTTTTATCGTTATTGTAAAAAATATCAATTGGGAAACGCTTTGCCAGAAAATGAAGGAGAAGTGGTGTGAAGGAAAGCAGGACAAGGAAAGTGTTGGCAACTGAAATTTCATAAATTGGAGATAGAACTGCTCAACTCCTCACCGATGGCAAACATCATCATTGTAGGTTTTTCGGCAGCAGCTTCCCACAAATACGAGGATAACACCGGGACCATCACTGCTCCAGCAACAGACGATGACAATGAAAGAATCTAAACAGCTTTCTGAATTCTTCACATTCCTGAGATCTACAACTACACACCTTGGCTCCCTTCACTCCCATTGCAACGACGTCATGAGGAGTTTTTGGCGAACCAGGTGGAAGAGTACCCTGATGAATCAGAATCGAGTGACCCAAGTCATCTTTATTGACTTTTGACAATGGTATTGTTTCAATGCAACCTGAAAACTACTTTATTAGATTTCCTTGGTTTTCATGCAATCCGGATTTTCGTACATTTTTGAGTTGTTCCCAAGTTCCTTGTAATTCGAATGAAATTTGACGCACTGATTCGGACCGGACGCAGCAAGATTCGCGGTAGT